CAAAATACAAAAGCGATGGTTAAAAGCTGGTCATGATAGGTTATAGCCTAAACCTCGCGTGGGACCTGAAGAAACTATCTGTCTGGCCATAGGTCAAAACGTGATTCACAGACAATCAAGTCGTTAAGTGAGTAATGAGGGACATGACTACAGTGCTAAATGAAAAGAATGAAGTTGAGAATATGGCCGGTAAAAATAAACGAATGTCAATCCAATCAAAATAAATGATATGATCCTTCGATTAGGCCAAAATACATGTCATTATACTCATTTAGTGATTGAATCTAGACGCTGACGGATAATAGATAAAATCCACTCCCGATGAATCTATTAAACTTATCGAGAGACTACCAGAAAGATGAATCGGCCCTGTTACCGTGATTCGATGATGTTGAAGTTTCAATCAATTATAATTGGATCATGAAATAGTACTTTTTACACTTTCAGATATGCATAGCCAACCTAGGCGTTTTTGAAGAGAATGAGCGCCTCTTGCTTGATCTCTTCAAGGGTCTTCTCTAAGCTCTCTGGATCAATACCGGCCTTGAGTGCCGTCTCGAGATCCGGTACCATCGTAGTTCCTTTACTCTCTTCTTCTTCTTCTACCCTAGACGTCTTGATCGGCCGAGCTATCTGAGATCGCAAAGCAGCTACTCGAGCCAAGAGTTGCTTCATCGGTGCCGGTTTCAACTGGTCGCAGAATTCACGGCAGCGTAGCTCCACCTCCTCGAGGAGAGCGTCGGCCCGCGTGATCGCCTCGACCATCAAGCGGCGTTTCGCGTCAGCCTCGTGGCTGGCAGCCGCCTGCTCGACCAGGAGGTCGACTTGTTTGCTTGATAGCCCACCAGGCGTCTCAGTGGGACAGGCATCACAAGCGCTTTTGTCGCCGACGACCTCTTGCGTGGAGCCCGGCCGCAGCACAATCTGCTGGGCTCGCCCGGAGCCCTTATCCCGGGCCGATACATGCACGATGCCGTTAGCATCAATGTCGAAGGTTACCTCGATCTGAGGCACTCCTCGTGGGGCTGGAGGGATGTCGACCTGGCAAGGAAGACAAAGAGAGGTAGACGTACAGTCGTATAATAGGAATGTGGGAAAAAAGGAGCAACTTTCAGTCGATAATCAGTCTTTATTTTAGATATGAAGAGTAACTGGGTTTCGAGGAATCGCCTAAGATTAATACTTTCATACGAAATGAAAATCTCCCCATAGCCTTCATTTGCTAATCCCTTAGGACGCCTGGCGGCCATGCAGCGAATTTGGCGGAGAATAGCGATGCCGTTATATCAAGTGGGCAAATGTAGGCATGAAATTGTCTCCAGTGTCGAATCATTTTGCGCGAGGAAGCGAGAAATTATGGCAACAAACAGCCAAATTAATAAATCCGCAGAGCATTCAGAAAAAGGAGGCCAGTTGGAGCACTTCTTATCAACGAGTCAGTGAGAAATATCAATGCTTATGGGACTCCGATTAAAATGGGAGATTATGCTCGGAGTTCCGTTTATTCTCTCAACAGGAGAGTTCACCTAAAGGTTTATCCGAAGATGCTGAGTAGGTTAGCGAAACAGGTAAACGATGAGATAAGTTTTCGTAACTTGGTCATATTGGCAGGAAGACAAGGTCAAACAACTTCTGTACAACGAAAGGAGACCGTGACCATACAAAAGTCCACACCATCCTGGTCTTCATATGTTCGATTAAAAGATGAAAGGATTGTCAATTCTGATGATAAATCATATAACCCAAGTATTCGCCATTATGATTATAGAAAGTCAACCTCACTGGTATATATGAAGTGGTAGTTTCGAGAGCCTACTAAAGCGAAAAGTATTCTTCTGTTGTCAGCGCATTGCCTAAATAAAGAAAGTGTATCACAACCAAGCTTAACATGAATGAGAAGGTTGTGATGCCAAAGGGTCAAAGTTACCTTTTCAAAAGTATTAGGAAAAGTGTCCTGACGTCTGCCTGACGCCCAACTGCCGGTTTTCAGCTCACTTTTCATGTTGACAAACCTAACATTAATTGAGACTCGGTGGTTAGTTGGAAGGAAAAGTTACTACCACGAAACAATGGTCTTCAAAAGTGAAAATTCATTGAGGCCAAGGACAAGAGTAAGAAACCGAGTCGATTAGCTTTACAAAAGTCTCAATAAGCCTTTAGAAACGAGGTGTCCAGTCACACACGTACCAAAGAGAATTCGCCTAGAAGTTTGTTCCCGCTGGCCACATCTCGCTCACCCTGGTAGACACGAATTGCAACCTGAGTCTGTCCGTCGATGGCTGTAGAGAAAACCTGTGATTTCTTGGTGGGTATGGTTGAATTGCGGCCGATTAGTCGGGTCATTAGACCACCGAGTGTCTCGATGCCCAACGAGAGTGGAGTCACATCGAGAAGGAGTACCTCAGTGACCTCGCCAGCGAGAACGCCTGCCTAAATTGAAGAAGGAAAGAGGCATCGACGATAAGGTGCACTGGTTAGAGAGGAGAGGCAAAGGCAAATAGAGGGAATGCAATCTTGGGCAAGGAGAAATGGGTAGAAAGATGGGTCGCTTTATTTATGAGTGGCTGAACTCTATCAATTGTGTGAGAAAAAGCTATCATATGAGTGATCAAAGCCACTTTCCTACCTGGCACTCAGGGTACACATGCAAATTGAGTCAAGTTGAGTTGAGGAACGCCAAGTGACAAGAATGAATAAGAAGTGTGCGCTGGGGAATGAAAGCAAGGTAATTAAAACAGATCGAGAGCCAATGGCACAGTCGCCAAGGCATGCATCTACCAAAAAGTTGGTGAATCGTTATTTTGAAAATGGGTGAAATAAAGGGTTAAAAGATACAAAAATTATGGCTTAAAAGTGTTAACTGGCGGTGGTAATAGCTCTCGAAACCCGGTTGGGTTTAGGCCAAAGGACGAGAAGTGGACTGATCATAAGCGCAAAGTAGCGCATAAGGCAGGAATGGTGGAATGAGTCTGCGCGCACGAATTGCTCGACGCAGATCATCCAGCCAGGCTGGAGGTGCAGTCGGTCCTGTCGGCCGACTGGATCTGGCGACGATGTGCCTACGCATGGCCAGTCTGAGTCCGGCCGGCAGGGCTTGGCCTGCGGCACCGGAAAGTTGAGGTTGAAGGAGCCGTGATGACTCGATGCAAGTGTCGTCATTGGATGGAAGCAAGAGGGAGACGAGTCCCGAATGGCCGAGGACCTGACGACCACCGAATCTGAAACAGCCGCCCAAGCGGAGAGCAGGTCGAGCGGCCAGTAGGCCCAGCACAAGTTCCCGGCATCCCTCTCGCCCATTGGGCAAAAAGGAGAGATCCAAACTGTCGTCATCACAACCAGTGTTGGTTGGTGTCTTGTCCGTCAGATGGCCAGCACGAACGGGGCGCGGATAGTCAGGCTGCGGTGCAATCAG